ACGCCCGAGCCTCCTGGGCACCGAGCCTACCACGCCCACCCTCTGGGCGGGCCCTGGAGACTTGGGCGGGCGAGGCCCACGGCCCTGTCCATGAGGACGGTTTGATGTGAACCTGGGGCAAGTCAGTGACAAGGCCGCCAGGATGCAGGACCAGGACCCAAACCGCAGAGCTGACACGAGCTCACACGTCCCCACAGCACACGCCTCTCAGGGACACAGCACGTTTAAGACACCACCCCTGGGACGCCCACAGCGCCTTCAGACGTAAATGATAGGAGTCGAGACCCTCGATCCAGCAAGCCTGACGACGCACCTACTGTGCGGGCTGTGCTCAGCGCCGGGAGCCAGGAGCGGGCGCGGGCGCAGGAGTGCTCACCTTCACGATGAGGCGCTTGGTGGACAACTTGAGCTGCAAGTGGGCGCTGGCCACAAACATCTTCATCAGCAGGTAGAACACGGACCGCTCGCCCCCGAGGAGCTCTGCCTCCGGGCCTTCCTGGGGTCAGGATAGAAGAGTCAATGGGCTCCCCCCCACCCCGAGGACTGGACCCTCTGCTCGTGGCTGAGACCCTGTGCCCAGCGCCTCATCCCTAAGTTATGGCCAGCGAGCCGTGACAGAGCACACGCGTGCAGCGGCCAGCGAGCCGTGACAGCACACGTGTGCAGCGGCCAGCGAGCCGTGACAGAGCACATGCGTGGAGCCTGGCACGTAGTTAGTCCTCCAGCGGAACACCTCAACCAGGATGCAGGGGAACCTCAGAGAGAGGACTTGGGGGGTAATGAGGGGAGAAGTACAATGACCCCATGGCCGCAGCACCCTCCCCCTTTCTGGAAACATCACGTGTAACGATGTAAGCACACGCTTCCATGCAATGGATTCCATGAGATCTTAAGTTTCGAGTCTTATAAAAATGTCACCTGAGCCCTGGCTGGTGCGGCTCAGTGGCTAGAGCGTCGGCCTGCAGACTGAAGGGTCCCAGGTTCAATTCCAGCCAGGGCACATGCCCGGGTTGCAGGCTGGATCCCCAGTGCGGGGTGTGCAGGAGGCAGTCAATTGATGATTCTCCCTCATCATTGATGTTTCTCTCTCTCCCTCTCTGAAATCGATAAAGAAATATATATTTTAAAAAAAAATTACCTCAACTACTGAGAAACACGCAGACAATGCTAACTGCCTGGTTTCCCCTTTTCGACAGAAATGACGAGGCCCGTGTTTCCATACACACGACCTGCTGCACTGTGAGTCCCCTTCACGACGCCCATCGTGCTCTCCAGGGAGCCCCAGAAGACACGCTGGTCACGGAGAGCACCAGCGCCCCGCTCCCCCGCCCATCCTCGCGGGGGCTCCCCTCTCTGCCTCAAGTCCCTCCAGGGTGCGGACAGAGGAGGCATGTATTTTCTTTCCCAAAAGGTTTTTTTTTAATGTATTTTTTATTGATTTCAGAGAGGAAGGCAGATCGAGCCCGCCATTGGGGATTGAGCCTGCAACCCAGGCATGTGCCCTTGGCCGGAATCGAACCTGGGACCCTTCAGTCTGCAGGCCGACGCTCTATCCACTGAGCTAAACTGGCCAGGGCTGTTTTCCAAAAGGTTTTAAACAACACACACAGCAAGACAGCCAGGACAAACAGTGCCAAAGCGCCAGGGCCCAGCAGGCAAGGCTCTCAGTTATGCGAGTGCAGGCTTCCTGGCTCCACGCCGCCCTCATACAGGACCTGACTGCCGCCCCCCGGGCCCGCCTAACGGGTCCCCACTCCTACCTGAGCCTTCAACCAGGAGAACTTGCAGGCGGGAAGCTCCAGGGCCACCTGCAGGAGGTGGTGCTGCAGGACGGGGGGCACCTCCTCCCGCAGGCCCTGCTCCGAGATGACACCTGGCGGAGAGAAGTCCCGTCATGGGGAGGTTGCGCCCAGCGGTGCTGCCCGGCCCAGGGCCAGACGAGGGCGCCATGTCCAGATGAAAGGGCAGACACAGGGTCCGTCCCGACCTGGGGTCGCCCTCACACAGGCTGTGCCCTGCTCGACCACATCTCGCCTGACATCCCCTCTGAGGCCCATTCAAACCCTCAACACGCTGCCTCGGCCACTGACGCCTCCCACAGGTGCCACCCCCACAACGCCCTCCAGGGGGCCTCCTGCTAGGGCAGCCCTGGCGTGGGCACAGGCCTTGTTCCCCGGCTGCAAGCATTTTGTGAGTGGAGGTGGCCATCGGCCACCGAGACTGCTCCTTGCCCCTGGCCTGGTTCCCAGGAAGGACACAGCCACTACAGACAGACAGCCACATTCTAGAGCAGCTGTGGGCAAACTACGGCCCGCGGCCCGGATCCGGCCCGTTTGAAATGAATAAAACTAAAAAAAAAAGACCGTACCCTTTTATGTAATGATGTTTACTTTGAATTTATATTAGTTCACACAAACACTCCATCCATGCTTTGGTTCCGGCCTCCGGTCCAGTTTAAGAACCCATTGTGGCCCTCGAGTCAAAAAGTTTGCCCACCCCTGTTCTAGAGCCTTCCCTGTGCTCACAACAACGAGAACCTTCACTTCCAACCACTGTGCATGGCGCCTCCATCCACACACAGGACGCTGCCCCCGGAGGCCTCCCGAGAGCGAGCTGGACACGCTTGTCCCAGAGGCTCCCGATACAGTGATTTGACCAAACTCCCCCCTCGAGGCAACGCGACCAGAGGGAGAGTCACGTTCACAAGTGGGTGTGCGCCGCCGCACAGGTGAGGGCGAGTCTGAGGGTGAGCGATGGTATCAGAGGCCGGGGCGGAAGGGGCGGGAATGGCACCCTCCCAGGGCCCACACCCCCTGAAAGAGGCTTTGTCCTGAGCATCCCATGGGACCTTGCTGTTGTTATATAATTATAACAATAGCAGAGCAGGTGCTAAGACTGTGTGTTTGTGTGTGTGTGAGTATGTGTGTGTATGTGTGTGAGTGTGTGTGGGTATGTGCGAATATGTGTCTGTGAGTGTGTATGTGTGTATGGGTACGTGTGAGTGTGTGTGAGTGTGTGTGTGAGTGTGGGAGAGACTGGCAGCCACAGCGGGGGGTGGGGGGGAGGCGCACCTCGCAGGAGCTTGCTGAAGTCGAAGTTGTACTGCGTGACCACGTGCGGGACCACCCGCTGGTAGAGGCAGATGACCTGCAGCAGGACGGCCTTCAGAAGAATGGTTTCCGCGTCGTCTGAACCAAAACGAAAGCTTTGTTAAGAAACAACGGCTTTGTCCTCCGTCAGCAACCGGTCAGCATGGCCCCACGACCCACCGCCGTCAACTGCGCGCTGAGCACAGAGCCCGCGGACAGACCCACAGATGCGACTGCAGGGCCCCGTGCTCAAGGTCGAGC